ACACTGGTTACATAAATAACTATTACTCCAAAGTGAAGTCAACAATAAAATAAAGCAATGATTTTCGTCTTCAGACATAATTTATTATATATTATGGAGATATATATTCAATTCATCAACAATAATGATAAAAAATATTGGTTTCACGGTCGAATCGTTCGTGATGGAATACTGCAAATATGATGAGTTGGACTTGTTTAATTTAGTTGTTATCTTATATATAGTCGGATGGTTGCACTGCCATCAAACGGAAGTGTCAAATCATACCAATTTGAGAGACGCAAATCTGTGTTCCGTGATGATAGATAGTTGGATCAGTTCCCAGGGACAAAAATATCGATAATTTCATTATTTAGAAAGTGAAATGAGTTCCGCATAAAATTGATCATAATCTCTCTTTCTCACAATTAGCACAGTTACTCAAACGGAAAATGTGCGATTTTAATATTTTTCTTTGCGCTACCATGCTTGATGGCTTCGTCTCGCCTTGAATTTCGAGAACGTCTCGGTTAAACTAAGTGTTTTTCAGCTCAAACTGAGCTAATCGAAGATGCTTGGGAGTATATTAGAACACGAGAATTTCAATTTTTTCTCTTTTGAAATGGTTAAGATATTCAGTTGGAATTATGGTATATTCAAACATCCGGTATTGTATAATAAGAGTAGTAGTAGTAGTATTGTGGGGAGGCTGTAGCCAGGCAAGTAGGCCCCCATGGGCCCATTTTGCCAACCGCTGTGTTGATATTATAGCACCTACCTGGTGTGTATAATACGTCGAAAAATATATCGCAGACTGGTTTCGAAAGTATTTTAATATTTTTATGTGAATTGAAAGACAATCCTATTATTTTGACAATAACCATCAAACTCAAAATCGACTGTGTGTTTTTACAGAGTCTTGACAACATATGTATATAAAAATTGACACTGAAACAAAATATCATCAGCTCCTCTGAATGCACCGATTCTCAACACCCTGCTCTCCACATATCTACACATCCCTCTTTTAGTTGTCCTTTTCGAACCGTCCCGTCCTTCTGATGAAGGTCAGGATGTCCGTCCACTCTAATTCGGCCAAATCTTCCTGTTGTAGTTTATCTACTCCAAAGATTTCGAATCTCATCCTTCCATACGCCTCACACTTTCCGAGGAAGTGAAGTGATGTCTCCTCATCTTCTCCGCATTCACGGCAAGTGAGACTATCTTCCACACCTATGAGTGTCTGCGTAACCTATTGTGCCCTGTCAGTACCCCTATAAGGAGGCGCCGTTAAGCCGTCTTTGGCATAATAAGAGTAAGTGTGGTTTGTCCTTGAGTACCTCCTCAACCCACCTACACAGTCCCATAGGAGTTATATGCTATGGTAGATGATCTCTATCCACCATATTTAAAGTTGGTTTCGGTTTTGAACAGCAGGGTTTGGTTTCAGACTCGAGTTGAGAGATATGAGTTTCTCATTTTGATACGTTTTGATATATTGTCACGATGTCACGAGTAGAACATTGCATCGGAAATATTAATTTGAACCATGAGAGTTTTATAATCATCAAAAGTTAATCAAATCATCCTTTGACATTGAACTATGGATACTGACCAAGGAAATCTCGTGAGAAACGTGCAAGGCCAATAAACTGTTATATAAATATTGGATGTAGGGTTTCCAAAGTCTGGTCTGAGATTTCTCTTGATTTGACGAGTACCAACTTGATATCATTTATGCAAGTTATCAGATGGTCATCATATTCATTGTTGTTCATAATAATAATAATAATAATAATTTTTTCTTTATTTGTCCCAAAAATATGGGCGGAAGTCTAGTGATGACCAGACGAATCCAGTCAATTCCTACTCAACTTAACCCCATATCATAGTCTCGTACTTTCAGATAACTCCTATGAATTGGTGCTTATTCAAATAGTACCTCTCGCAAACCATCGAGCCAAGCAAACCGTTACACACCGATATGGGGAAATCAACTCTTTGCCATAATAATATATAGAAAGCTCCTATAACCCAGTCGTGGCAAACGCATTCATCCCCTTCACATCGAGACAATAAATTTATTTATTTTCAGACGAACATAGTCCTTCAGAAAAACAATAAACCTTAATTCTATTATTCATAAGGCAACAAGTGTAATTCCACCAAACGTAAACTGGTATTGGTATCAGGGGCGAATAGTATTATAAGAAACACCAAGAGTATATATTTATCATTGAACTGTGCTTTGTTGTCATTACCCCATGTGCTGATCGAGGTGCTGATTTTCTTTTTGAATTTTAGTTCTCCCTCCACTTGTGTGCATAATACCTATGATAAGTTGGTTATCATTGCTTCATTGAAGAATATTATCAAACCGAATTATTAGAAAAAAAATTATTTGCTTTATTTCTCGACGTTCCCTGGTATACATTTATGTATCTCGTGCGCCATCAGGAAGGCCTTGAATTGATGCAGAATTCAATAGATCATGAAGGCCAACTAAAAAAAAAATTATAATGATTTTAACAGTTTACACTATCTATATGTATAGTTATGTACTTGGGAAATGTTTCCAGATCTTGAATATGCCAACAGAGCGAAACTAATGCTTTTGCATTGTTCCAGCTATACACGTGCGATATGTTATGCTGGCTTTTTCACATCAGTAGATTGCATTTTACTCTTTCAAAATTGTGATGAACATTATTTGTTCTAATATAGATAGAAGGCTGTACTAGAAATTTCCGGTGATTAACATAATTGACGTAATCAAGGCCATTGAAACGCGGAAAAAGTTACTGATAATGCTCCTTTGTTTTTCATTGAATATCCATATCCTATTGTTCAGATAATAATATTTATAGCGAACTATTCGTAAACAAATTTGCAAATAATCGTATCTATGCACTGGCTATACAGTGTGTTCCACATTTAGTTGTCCTATAATATTGCTATCAACTATGAAACGGTTAGATATATAAAATTGGTTATTTATATAGAAAAAAAGTTGCACATTTCGGAAAAAATCATAAGCGAAGGCGCTAGCCCTTTTATTTCTGGAGATAGAAAGAAAATACAGACATTTTTCCTTCTATTTCGAATGTTCCCCGACACTTTTTTCCATTTAAACAACTTTCTATCTCTATAATTGTCCCAGAGATAGCAATAGTGGGACAACGAAATATGGGCCACCCTGTATACTTCTTCTATATCTTCTTGTTCTCATCATATATGTTTTATTCGAAAAAAAAAAAAGCATGTTTGATATCAGTTAAAATTCACTTGTTATTTTGACCCATCCTGCATCTTTTCAGTAAAATATTCGAATTTGCAAATAATCGTATTTATCTACTAAAGCAATTAATTTTGTCTATATATACATCTTCTTGTTCATATCATATGCTCCAGTTTGAAAAAGTCTTGGAAAAAGTCATAACTATTCGAAATTATTCAAAATTTCATTGTTTATTTGACCATCCTGCTTCTTTTCAGAAAAATATTAAATTTTCAAGTGATAGAATGTGGTCTTGGGACTATATACCCATAGTTCCAAATACTATTCTTCGAAATACCTATAGTAAAAGGGATTTGATTTCAAGGATGTCTGGCAATTCGTATTCGTATACAAAAACTACTATAACTTGGTAATGATGCGTCGAATTTACAAAAACAAAAAACCATCAGTAATAATTCTAATGGGGTGGAATTTCAGTTATATTGAAATATATTGGGCCTTCCATTCGAAGAAACTTGAAGAGTGGTGATACATGCCTACTTAGTCGCACTGGATAGAGACAATAGTTATTTATTATACAAGGGAAAAAATTAGTAGATTTTAGCTCCAGGTTGTGCAGAAACCGTGAGCTAAAATCTAATATTTTTCCCTCGATTTTTCCCGTGTATAATACACTATTTTTTTCTGTGACAGAAGAAAGGACAAATCAATATTGAAAAGATATTACATTATTTTAAAATCTGAAAATTATCGACGTGAAATTTTAAGTTTTTACCAGTAGAGACACCTGCGTTGTAGGCATCTTTATCATTCTTTTGAAGTAATCAAATATCTGATGTCACTTCTGTCAATCTAATTCTGTAATTTGTTTTCAAAAAATTGCGAATTTAGTGGTTGTTTAGTAATACAGAGTGGGCCTTTGAAAACGAAACAGAGGCTCTGTAGGTCGCCAAAACCGGATTATCAAAAAAAACTGAAACAGGTCAACTACATTTTCGAGGGGGACATCTTTCTAAAATATTTTCAGCCCTGCGGCGTTGCCACTTCTAAAGAAAAGAAGCAACAACTTTGTTATTTCAAATGGAACACCTTGTATTTTATTGCATTTTTATATTCTCCCCGAAGAGCTGATTTCATCAATGCATCACACTTGGGGTCTAGCTGTAATGGTTTCAGGGATATAAAGTGTTCAAAATCGAGATTTTTCAACTTTAACATTTTTTTGTGTCGAAACTATTCATTATTGGTCAAAACGGCTCTCATGTCCCTATCTCAACTTGTGATTTACTATCTACTGACATTTATTTGAAACAAATACAGGGTGGTTCAAGATTCAGAATTCTGATCACCGTCGGAGACGGTATTATTGACTCATTTTTCGGAACTATAGCACAACAAAAGCCATCAACAGTAAATATATATGTGATATATATCCGTGAAAAAAGTACTCACTTTTTTCCCACGGGAAAGAAGTAATTTATAAAAAGTGACATTTTATAACCTGCCAACAGAGATGAAATGCCAAACTTTTTTCCCGTCACAGAAAAAATATAATATTTAATTATGAACCTGCCATTCCTTTGCCACATCATTCGTCCACACTATTGATCCACCCTATATACATACACATTTGAATTTCAAAATTGAAAAAAATGTTTGGAAACAATGATCTATTACGTTATACCAGATCCAGATATACAATATACGTGGTGCATTGAATTCGGATATATTTCAGCTAGTCTGATGAAAATATGACTATCATAAATTTTCTCTTATTTTGTAGACGCTTTGTGGCACCCATACTAAAGAAGATAGCGAGGCCCAACCCTTGATGGTGTGCTTTACTAAAATAATATTATATCAAGTGTCGCCTGAATAGCTATTGTAACTTCACTGTCGGATCGCACTCTGCATACATGACTTTTTGTGGTCATTCGACAACCCTTCACTGGAGGGCTCCGAAGGGTCATACCCTCTTAGCACTCATCACGCCCTTATCTTCCCTGCCTTTTCATTCGAATTAATGTTTCAGCACGATCTGGATGTTTGACTATACACACCTCGTGTTGTACAAGATGAAAATGAATAAGTGTGATAACATTGAAGGGTCCTTGTCATATTTCATGAAAAAAGTTAATCTGTACATTTTTCCTTACTTGCGTCGTTTTCAAGACACAGGCATCGTACACAGGATAATAATAATAATAATAACTCACGACGAAGGCAGGCCAACGCCACAGCCAACGCTATCAATGAAGATCTTGCCTAAATTCCAGCCTGGGGAACCAACAACTTAGTTGAATTCAACGCTATCAAAAGTAGAGCCTGTGTTTTCTCTAGAAAGACGGAACTCAGTATGCCTGATATAATAATGTCTGGTACCACCATTCCCACCAAGACTACTATATATGTACAGTATGATGCAAATGTATGGAAAAAAATCCAAAAAGTAGAGTTCAGAACTTTTTTATCGATGTATTTTTTCAACTAGACGACCCTTCGATGTTCAATTTTCAGTAGAAGATCTCTGCAAGATTCAGTTAACCAAATGATAATCCATTTTAATTTCAATCTTCTTTTGCAAAATTTTGACTATTGGATAGACGATCAGTAGACCTTTCAAACGAGGTGTCACATGACCCCTGTTTGTATTTAAAAAAACCGTCCATTACGTCATCACTCCAACACCGGTGACGAAACATCTCTCATATGAATGTCATGAGATGAGGTTTCAAAAATTGAAACTCACGTGTTCTTGGAATTTCTTCAAATGTCGCCCATTTCTGAAATAATGAATTTATTCCATACATTTGCATCATACTGTATATGCTCGGTATTACCATCAGCAATACCCTCTCAAAATCATGTCCGATCCTCTCAAAGAGTTTTTGAAAAATACGCCTCTCAACGATTTTTTGAACGATTTTCGAAAGAAAGTTATATGAGAATGATTGCTGATCTGGATATATATTCTCTATATCGCTACCTCTGAGGTTTGATTGTGATCACTAAAAATCAAAATTTGATCGAAAATTTGTAATCATTCTCATGTCCTACTCTTGAAAATCATTCAAAATCGATCAAACTCTGATATAGTTTTAGAAGTCGAAATGTTGAAGAATACAGGAGATGAATATCGAGTGGGGTATTTTTGGAAAGCTTTTCAAAAGGTCATATCAATGAAGAGAAAATATATAGGGTATTCAATTCAAAATACCTACACTTTCCCTTGTGTGGCTGTCTTTTATTCGCGTTCTAAATATAAAAATGTGTTTCCGGTATTTGATGATGCTGTATGATACAACTGTCAAATATATTCTCATTCATGATCAACACGATATCTGTATAGATCCCAATTCATCGTATAGATGAAAATAATAATTCGTAATTTCGTGTTACGAGTCGAAATTTCGAATTAAAATTCGTAATTCCGTGTTACTAGTCAGAATTCTGAGTTACAATTCAGAATTCCAAATAACAAGTCGGAATTCCAAGTTACAATTCAGATTTCCGAGTTACAATTCGGAATTCCGATTCCGAATAATAAGTCGGAATCCCGAGTATCCTGGCTGAGCAGAGAGCTACCACGTATAAAAGATGTGAAGATAAGTTGATTGGACCCAATTTATTTATACAGGGTGACCCACTTCTAATGGAAACACCCCTGTATCATACGTAATTGTTGGGTAAGGATCCTGAAATTTGCTGGAGCGAGAGATATTCCAAAAATGCACTCTATGACCAAGTGGGATCATCTTCAGTGATATACACTTCTCACCAACAACCATGGAACCACCTCAATTTCCGGAAAATGATATTAGGAGTCAAAATCAGGACGCCCAATTCACTAACTATCCATGGTTTTCCTAGAACATTTTTAGTTCAGAAAAATTAAATTTTGTCTCACTTCTCATGGAAGCACCCCCGTATCTCACGTAATTATTAAGGTAGGGTTCTGAAATTTGCAGGAGAAAGGTATCGTTCAAAGACTATTACGTAAGAGACGGGGGTGCTTCCGTAAAAAGTGCGACAAAATTTAGTTTTTCAGAGCTGAAAATTTTCCAGGAAAAATATGAATAGTTATAGTGAATTGGGCGTCCTGATTCCGAATCCGAAGTGATTTTCAACCTATTTGGTAGATGACCCCACTTGGTCATAGAGTCCATTTTTGGTATATCTCTAGCTGCAACAAATTTACCTAACGATTACGTAAGATACAGGGGTGTTTCAATTAGAAGTGGGTCACACTTTGTACTGTTACGACCCTGGCAATCGATCCCAGCTACCTGCGGGAACGGGAAGTAAATAAACCGTATTTCTTGGAATAGTAATTTGGTGATTCGACGGCTATTGAGATGACTCGAGAAGATTATCGACCTGTTCACGATATTTCGAGTGGAATCTAGACGTTTTATTAGGTAGTATAAATAGTTGTTGTTAGGGACAGGAAGGGAAGTCTTTATTTGGAAGCGTTATAATAACGATCGAAGAAGTGTTGTGAATCGGAAGTGTTTAGTACGAGTATTGTAATTATTGTATAGTAGTGTTCAGAATAAATCGTTTCAAGTGTTCTACCGAGTGTTAAATTATTACGGACCCAGAGTAAAATCGTAACAGTGGTGTCAGAAGTGTGGATTTTCGAGGACATTTGAATACGTATGGTGAATACAAGGAGTACGTCATACGACACGATGGAAGACATTATAAAATTCATGAAAAATCAGTTCGCAGAACTAGAGACACGACGACAGGAAGATGAGAAACGTCGTCAAGAAGAGTTACAGAAAATTCTAGAACATCAAGAAAAAGAACGAGAACATCAGAAAATCTTCTTCGAACAAATTCTGCATAAAACTGATAAGCAAATGGATGAGTTAAAGACAGATGTCACCAGAATTGATGACAAGCTTAACCAGGAAGTTTCAAGAATAGATTCCATGCTCGATGCAATCGAAAGAAATGTAGCGAATCAGATCACCTCGCTACGAAGTCAAGATCGCCGTGACAGAGTTGCCACATCGGGTTCTTCCGTGAAACCACCAACTTTTGATGGACAGTCGCCTTGGTCTATGTATCGCCGACAATTTGAGGCTGCAGCAAGTGCAAATGGGTGGAGTGACGAGGAAAAAGCTACTGCACTCATAGTAGCTCTGAGAGGACCAGCTTTGGGAATGTTACAGTCGATCCCAGTTGAACAACAAAACCACTTCGGAGATTTAGTGGCTGCGCTAGAACTCAGGTATGGTGACCAACATCGAGAACAGCTTTACCGGGCTCAGATGAAAAATCGTGTGCAGAAGTCTGGAGAGAGCCTACAGGAGTTCGAAGCAGATGTGAGAAGACTGACTCAATTAGCCTACCCAGAGGCACCAGAGGACTTCAAAGAACAACTGGCGGTGCAGGTATTCATCGACGGGCTGAGAGACTCAGAAATACAGAAGACTCTGAGGCTTACACACTTTAAGAGGAGTGGTGAAGCCCTAGTAAGATCTCTGGAGGTAGAAGCGGCCTTCAACACCTCTAGGCCAAAAGTGAGAGCTGTGTCCATCGAGGAGCCTTCCGAAGACGTGGACCCAGTGGCGAAAATGTTGAGAAAAGTGCTTGAGGAACTCAAAGAAATTAAGAGTGGGTCTAGTAACCAGCGAAATAGATCCTGCTATCGCTGTGGCAGAACTGGACACCTGATAAGGGACTGTAAGGTGAGAGTACCACCACGATCTTCTTCACCTGCAAGGACGCCATCACGGTCGTACTCACCTGCGAGGACTAGGTCATCTAGTGAGTCCTCAGATAGATACCAGGAAAAACTAGAACTAGCCAGCGTATCGGGGCGCATGCTGGCTAGTAATAACGAAGCCCCCAGGGTCATTAACATCAAAAGGATAAGAAGAACAACTGATAGCCTGACCATCAAAGGAAAACTACACCAGAATGCAGATGCCATGTCCAGAAGACCTTGTTCGGAAACCTGTAAGCATTGTCTGCGCATTGAACATCGAGAAGGAACCGCTGATGTTAGAAAAACCAGACTTGTGACCGATGATAAGTGGACAGCAGCACACATGAGACGAGATCAGGAGAACGATCCGAATATCGCTGATTTTCTACGTTGGAAAGAAAGAGGAACAGAAAGACCGACATGGAAGGATATCTCGGATAGAGGGCCTGCTTTCAAGGCGATGTGGGCACAATGGGACTCACTAGTTGTGGAGAATGGATTATTGAAGCGAGTTTGGGAATCAGCTGATGGTAGATCAACAATTTCTCAGCTGGTTGTGCCCCACATCAGAGTTAATGAAGTTCTGGAAGAAGTCCATGGCGGAAAATCTGGTGGACATTTTGGAGTTAACAAGACACTGAGTAAAATTCGAGAAAGATTTTACTGGGTTCAATGTCGTGACGACGTGGAAAGTTGGTGTAGAAGATGTCCTGTATGCGAAGCCAGTAAAGGTCCCAGAACGAGATCAAGAGCTGGAATGAAGCAATACAATGTGGGTGCACCGTTTGAAAGGATCGCCATCGATGTAGCCGGACCATTCCCTTTGACCGATGATGGAAATAAATACATCTTGGTTGCTATGGACTACTTCAGTAAGTGGGTAGAAGCATACGGCATGCCAAATCAAGAAGCCTCCACAGTTGCCAGGATATTGGTAGACAACATGTTTTCACGGTTCGGAGTACCAATGGAATTACATTCTGATCAAGGGAGAAATTTTGAGTCGAACTTATTCAAAAAGGTCTGTGATCTAATGGGAATCAGTAAGACGAGAACAACTCCACTACATCCACAATCCGATGGCATGGTCGAAAGATTCAACCGAACTATGGAAGAACATCTTTCCAAAGTAGTCGAAGAGCATCAGAGGGACTGGGACA